TCTCCTGCTGATGTTCAGGTGTATATCAGTATGTAGTGTCTCTACTTTAAAGAGTCCTCTCCTGCTGATGTTCAGGTGTATATCAGTATGTAGTGTCTCTACTTTAAAGAGTGCTCTCCTGCTGATGTTCAGGTGTATATCAGTATGTAGTGTCTCTACTTTAAAGAGTCCTCTCCTGCTGATGTTCAGGTGTATATCAGTATGTAGTGTCTCTACTTTAAAGAGTCCTCTCCTGCTGATGTTTAGGTGTATATCAGTGTGTAGTGTCTCTACTTTAAAGAGTGCTCTCCTGCTGATGTTCAGGTGTATATCAGTATGTAGTGTCTCTACTTTAAAGAGTCCTCTCCAGCTGGTGTTCAGGTGTATATCAGTATGTAGTGTCTCTACTTTAAAGAGTCCTCTCCTGCTGATGTTCAGGTGTATATCAGTATGTAGTGTCTCTACTTTAAAGAGTCCTCTCCTGCTGATGTTCAGGTGTATATCAGTATGTAGTGTCTCTACTTTAAAGAGTCCTCTCCTGCTGATGTTCAGGTGTATATCAGTATGTAGTGTCTCTACTTTAAAGAGTCCTCTCCTGCTGATGTTCAGGTGTATATCAGTATGTAGTGTCTCTACTTTAAAGAGTCCTCTCCTGCTGATGTTCAGGTGTATATCAGTATGTAGTGTCTCTACTTTAAAGAGTCCTCTCCTGCTGATGTTCAGGTGTATATCAGTATGTAGTGTCTCTACTTTAAAGAGTCCTCTCCTGCTGATGTTTAGGTGTATATCAGTATGTAGTGTCTCTACTTTAAAGAGTCCTCTCCTGCTGATGTTCAGGTGTATATCAGTATGTAGTGTCTCTACTTTAAAGAGTCCTCTCCTGCTGATGTTTAGGTGTATATCAGTATGTAGTGTCTCTACTTTAAAGAGTCCTCTCCTGCTGATGTTCAGGTGTATATCAGTATGTAGTGTCTCTACTTTAAAGAGTCCTCTCCTGCTGATGTTCAGGTGTATATCAGTATGTAGTGTCTCTACTTTAAAGAGTCCTCTCCTGCTGATGTTCAGGTGTATATCAGTATGTAGTGTCTCTACTTTAAAGAGTCCTCTCCTGCTGATGTTCAGGTGTATATCAGTATGTAGTGTCTCTACTTTAAAGAGTCCTCTCCTGCTGATGTTCAGGTGTATATCAGTATGTAGTGTCTCTACTTTAAAGAGTCCTCTCCTGTTAATGTTCAGGTGTATATCAGTATGTAGTGTCTCTACTTTAAAGAGTCCTCTCCTGCTGATGTTTAGGTGTATATCAGTATGTAGTGTCTCTACTTTAAAGAGTCCTCTCCTGCTGATATGCAGGTGTATATCAGTATGTAGTGTCTCTACTTTAAAGAGTCCTCTCCTGCTGATGTTCAGGTGTATATCAGTATGTAGTGTCTCTACTTTAAAGAGTCCTCTCCTGCTGATGTTCAGGTGTATATCAGTATGTAGTGTCTCTACTTTAAAGAGTCCTCTCCTGCTGATGTTCAGGTGTATATCAGTATGTAGTGTCTCTACTTTAAAGAGTCCTCTCCTGCTGATGTTCAGGTGTATATCAGTATGTAGTGTCTCTACTTTAAAGAGTCCTCTCCTGCTGATGTTCAGGTGTATATCAGTATGTAGTGTCTCTACTTTAAAGAGTCCTCTCCTGCTGATGTCCAGGTGTATATCAGTATGTAGTGTCTCTACTTTAAAGAGTCCTCTCCTGCTGATGTTCAGGTGTATATCAGTATGTAGTGTCTCTACTTTAAAGAGTCCTCTCCTGCTGATGTTCAGGTGTATATCAGTATGTAGTGTCTCTACTTTAAAGAGTCCTCTCCTGCTGATGTTCAGGTGTATATCAGTATGTAGTGTCTCTACTTTAAAGAGTCCTCTCCTGCTGATGTTCAGGTGTATATCAGTATGTAGTGTCTCTACTTTAAAGAGTCCTCTCCTGCAGATGTTCAGGTGTATATCAGTATGTAGTGTCTCTAATTTAAAGAGTCCTCTCCTGCTGGTGTTCAGGTGTATATCAGTATGTAGTGTCTCTAATTTAAAGAGTCCTCTCCTGCTGGTGTTCAGGTGTATATCAGTATGTAGTGTCTCTACTTTAAAGAGTCCTCTCCTCCTGATGTTCAGGTGTATATCAGTATGTAGTGTCTCTAATTTAAAGAGTCCTCTCCTGCTGGTGTTCAGGTGTATATCAGTATGTAGTGTCTCTACTTTAAAGAGTCCTCTCCTGCTGATGTTCAGGTGTATATCAGTATGTAGTGTCTCTAATTTAAAGAGTCCTCTCCTGCTGATGTTCAGGTGTATATCAGTATGTAGTGTCTCTAATTTAAAGAGTCCTCTCCTGCTGATGTTCAGGTGTATATCAGTATGTAGTGTCTCTACTTTAAAGAGTCCTCTCCTGCTGATGTTCAGGTGTATCTCAGTATGTAGTGTCTCTAATTTAAAGAGTCCTCTCCTGTTGATGTTCAGGTGTATATCAGTATGTAGTGTCTCTACTTTAAAGAGTCCTCTCCTGCTGATGTTCAGGTGTATATCAGTATGTAGTGTCTCTACTTTAAAGAGTCCTCTCCTGCAGATGTTCAGGTGTATATCAGTATGTAGTGTCTCTACTTTAAAGAGTCCTCTCCTGCTGATGTTCAGGTGTATATCAGTATGTAGTGTCTCTACTTTAAAGAGTCCTCTCCTGCTGATGTTCAGGTGTATATCAGTATGTAGTGTCTCTACTTTAAAGAGTCCTCTCCTGCAGATGTTCAGGTGTATATCAGTATGTAGTTTCTCTACTTTAAAGAGTCCTCTCCTGCTGATGTTCAGGTGTATATCAGTATGTAGTTTCTCTACTTTAAAGAGTCCTCTCCTGCTGGTGTTCAGGTGTATATCAGTATGTAGTGTCTCTACTTTAAAGAGTCCTCTCCTGCAGATGTTCAGGTGTATATCAGTATGTAGTTTCTCTACTTTAAAGAGTCCTCTCCTGCAGATGTTCAGGTGTATATCAGTATGTAGTTTCTCTACTTTAAAGAGTCCTCTCCTGCAGATGTTCAGGTGTATATCAGTATGTAGTGTCTCTACTTTAAAGAGTCCTCTCCTGCTGATGTTCAGGTGTATATCAGTATGTTGTGTCTCTACTTTAAAGAGTCCTCTCCTGCTGATGTTCAGGTGTATATCAGAATGTAGTGTCTCTACTTTAAAGAGTCCTCTCCTGTTGATGTTCAGGTGTATATCAGTATGTAGTGTCTCTACTTTAAAGAGTCCTCTCCTGCTGATGTTCAGGTGTATATCAGTATGTAGTGTCTCTACTTTAAAGAGTCCTCTCCTGCTGATGTTCAGGTGTATATCAGTATGTAGTGTCTCTACTTTAAAGAGTCCTCTCCTGCTGATGTTCAGGTGTATATCAGTATGTAGTGTCTCTACTTTAAAGAGTCCTCACCTGCTGATGTTCAGGTGTATATCAGTATGTAGTGTCTCTACTTTAAAGAGTCCTCTCCTGCTGATGTTCAGGTGTATATCAGTATGTAGTGTCTCTACTTTAAAGAGTTCTCTCCTGCTGATGTTCAGGTGTATATCAGTATGTAGTGTCTCTACTTTAAAGAGTCCTCTCCTGCTGATGTTCAGGTGTATATCAGTATGTAGTGTCTCTACTTTAAAGAGTCCTCTCCTGCTGATGTTCAGGTGTATATCAGTATGTAGTGTCTCTACTTTAAAGAGTCCTCTCCTGCAGATGTTCAGGTGTATATCAGTATGTAGTGGCTCTACTTTAAAGAGTCCTCTCCTGCTGATGTTCAGGTGTATATCAGTATGTAGTGGCTCTACTTTAAAGAGTCCTCTCCTGCTGATGTTCAGGTGTATATCAGTATGTAGTGTCTCTACTTTAAAGAGTCCTCTCCTGTTGATGTTCAGGTGTATATCAGTATGTAGTGTCTCTACTTTAAATAGTCCTCTCCTGCTGATATGCAGGTGTATATCAGTATGTAGTGTCTCTACTTTAAAGAGTCCTCTCCTGCTGATGTTCAGGTGTATATCAGTATGTAGTGTCTCTACTTTAAAGAGTCCTCTCCTGCTGATGTTCAGGTGTATATCAGTATGTAGTGTCTCTACTTTCAAGAGTCCTCTCCTGCTGATGTTCAGGTGTATATCAGTGTGTAGTATCTCTACTTTAAAGAGTCCTCTCCTGCTGATGTTCAGGTGTATATCAGTATGTAGTGGCTCTACTTTAAAGAGTCCTCTCCTGCTGATGTTCAGGTGTATATCAGTATGTAGTGTCTCTACTTTAAAGAGTCCTCTCCTGTTGATGTTCAGGTGTATATCAGTATGTAGTGTTTCTACTTTAAAGAGTCCTCTCCTGCTGATGTTCAGGTGTATATCAGTATGTAGTGTCTCTACTTTAAATAGTCCTCTCCTGCTGATATGCAGGTGTATATCAGTATGTAGTGTCTCTACTTTAAAGAGTCCTCTCCTGCTGATATGCAGGTGTATATCAGTATGTAGTGTCTCTACTTTAAAGAGTCCTCTCCTGTTGATGTTCAGGTGTATATCAGTATGTAATGTCTCTACTTTAAAGAGTCCTCTCCTGCTGATGTTCAGGTGTATATCAGTATGTAGTGTCTCTACTTTAAAGAGTCCTCTCCTGCTGATGTTCAGGTGTATATCAGTATGTAGCGTCTCTACTTTAAAGAGTCCTCTCCTGCTGATGTTCAGGTGTATATCAGTATGTAGTGTCTCTACTTTAAAGAGTCCTCTCCTGTTGATGTTCAGGTGTATATCAGTATGTAGTGTCTCTACTTTAAAGAGTCCTCTCCTGCTGATGTTCAGGTGTATATCAGTATGTAGTGTCTCTACTTTAAAGAGTCCTCTCCTGCTGATGTTCAGGTGTATATCAGTATGTAGTGTCTCTACTTTAAAGAGTCCTCTCCTGCTGATGTTCAGGTGTATATCAGTATGTAGTGTCTCTACTTTAAAGAGTCCTCTCCTGTTAATGTTCAGGTGTATATCAGTATGTAGTGTCTCTACTTTAAAGAGTCCTCTCCTGCTTATATGCAGGTGTATATCAGTATGTAGTGTCTCTACTTTAAAGAGTCCTCTCTCCGCTCTAATCCTCTTTACATACAAACCCAAGTTAATGTCTTTGAAGTCTTTTAATCTGCACCTGCTCTCCTCAGCCTCGGCGTACGCAGACCTGCAGCAGCACCGGTTCGATGCCGTCCAGAGGAGAGAGGTACCAGCGCCCGACTACCAGAAGGGGGACGAGGACGAGGACCTCATTAAACCCAAGAAACTGCTGAATCCTGTCAAAGCTTCACGGAGCCATCAGGAACTCCACCGGGAGCTCATGAGCAGCTGTAAACGGTAATGTGTGTGTGTGTTATTGTGTGTGTGATTGTGTCTATGTGTGTGTGTGAGAGAGAGAGTGTGTGTGTGACGGAGTGTGTGTGTGACGGAGTGTGTGTGAGCGTGTGTTTGTGTGTCAACATGTGAGGACAACTATAATGTCAGGTTCATAAAGTACAACCTGAACAGAAGAAATTATATTAAAGTCAATTTATGAAACGGATTATTTTAATAACCTCTTTTAAAAAATATATTAATTACATGCTGACCAATCAGAAAGCAGGAATTAACCACTTGTTTCAAACCAATCAGAGAGCAGTATTAAATGAAAGGTTTCTGCTGCTAGGCAACAGCCTCGCAGCTCGCAGGCCTGCAGCCGAGCATGCTGGGAATGTTTCCTCTCTTTCAAACGGCTTTATCTTCGATGGTCTTTCAGCAGAAAACAAAACACTCATTTACATCCAGAACACTCTGAGAGAGCTGCAGAGGAACTGGACCAGAACACAGGGCGACTAACATCTAACATAACAAGCTTCAATAATAAATGTTGTTTTGTGAAGTGTTTTCCCGTGTCCAAAGACGTAATATATTAAGATGAATAAAAACAACATTTCACATTTCCATATTTAAAACTTCAGCTTCAGGTGAAAACCCGACGTGCGTACATTTACTGCACAACAGAGGTTTTTAAACTTGAGTTTTGTTTTTACATTCAACAACAATCATTGTTTACGTGTGGCGTCTCTTGACTTGGAACAAAGGAAGAGTAATACAAGAACATAAACTAAATAAAACATAAATAAACATCGAACTGAAAGTCCACAGTCACAGTTGTATTTGTGTTATAACAGCCCTCTGCTGGAGGAACACGGAAACTAGAGACATGGAAATAAATAAGTCATTATTTTATTTCACATTTAAAATATCATTAATGTTAAATTATTAATCTAAGCTGCCTGAAACATGAACATTTATTCAGCACTGTTGTTTTATGTTTTCTATATCTATTTATTATATAATCACAACTGAACTCTAATGTAAAAACATGTCCAGACATTGACGTAGACAGCAATATATAAAATGTTAAAAAAAAGTGTTTAATTTTCTGTAAAGAGAAAAATAAAGAAAACTGAACTCGTTATGCACCGAAAGTTCTTTCAAACTCAGCTGGGAGACAAGAGGACACTAAAGAGTGACGCACACATCTGGAGACCAGGGGACACTAAAGAGTGACGCACACAGCTGGAGACCAGGGGACACTAAAGAGTGACGCACACAGCTGGAGACCAGGGGACACTAAAGAGTGACGCACACAGCTGGGAGACCAGGGGACACTAAAGAGTGACACACACAGCTGGGAGACCAGGGGACACTAAAGAGTGACGCACACAGCTGGGAGACCAGGGGACACTAAAGAGTGACGCACACAGCTGGGAGACCAGGGGACACTAAAGAGTGACGCACACAGCTGGGAGACCAGGGGACACTAAAGAGTGACGCCCACAATTGGGAGACCAGGGGACACTAAAGAGTGACGCACACAGCTGGGAGACCAGGGGACACTAAAGAGTGACGCACACAGCTGGAGACCAGGGGACACTAAAGAGTGACGCACACAGCTGGGAGACCAGGGGACACTAAAGAGTGACACACACAGCTGGGAGACCAGGGGACACTAAAGAGTGACGCACACAGCTGGGAGACCAGGGGACACTAAAGAGTGACGCACACAGCTGGGAGACCAGGGGACACTAAAGAGTGACGCACACAGCTGGGAGACCAGGGGACACTAAAGAGTGACGCACACAGCTGGGAGACCAGGGGACACTAAAGAGTGACGCACACAGCTGGGAGACCAGGGGACACTAAAGAGTGACGCACACAGCTGGGAGACCAGGGGACACTAAAGAGTGACGCCCACAATTGGGAGACCAGGGGACACTAAAGAGTGACGCACACAGCTGGGAGACCAGGGGACACTAAAGAGTGACGCACACAGCTGGGAGACCAGGGGACACTAAAGAGTGACGCACACATCTGGGAGACCAGGGGACACTAAAGAGTGACGCACACAGCTGGGAGACCAGGGGACACTAAAGAGTGACGCACACAGCTGGGAGACCAGAGGACACTAAAGAGTGACGCACACAGCTGGGAGACCAGGGGACACTAAAGAGTGATGCACACAGCTGGAGACCAGGGGACACTAAAGAGTGATGCACACAGCTGGGAGACCAGGGGACACTAAAGAGTGACGCACACAGCTGGAGACCAGGGGACACTAAAGAGTGACGCACACAGCTGGGACGCTTGGTGACGTTCAGGATCATAAAGCTGACCAACTGTCTCTGTTGTTGGAAACTAAAATGTTTGATGGTGTTATTTTAACAAAGTGATCACATAACTCCTGATGTCACTGCAGACCTGCTGTAAGCTAGCTAGCTAACGTAGCTAACCTAGTGATTTCAGATAGACTGACAAACACTTCCAGTTATGAGACGACTCACTCTGAGACAGAGACAGTTGGTCAGCCTTATAATCCCAGAGGGACTCAAAATTGTGCTTGAATACTGTAATGTATTTACTTTACACCACTGGGTGTCAGTATGGGTGCAGGATCATAACTCTGAATATAATGTGTGTTCAGAGGCGGGGGGGCGGTGGAGATGAAGCCGGAGCTGCAGAGAGTCCTGGAGTCCAGGAAGAGAGATCAGCTGATCAGAACCAGGAAGCAGGAAGAGGAAACTCACAGGAAGGTTTCCCCTCTGGAGGCTGAGCTGCTGAAGAGACAGCAGAAACTGGACGAGGTAACACAAATACACAACGTTATACACACACAGTACACGGAAATACACAACGTTATACACACAGTACACGGAAATACACAACGTTATACACACACAGTTGTCTGGTTGTTGTCCTGAAGGTTGTCTCTCTGTGTCTCAGTTGGACAGACAGCAGCAGAGAGAGCAGGACGACAGCATGAAAGCTCCAGAGTTCGTCAAAGTGAAGGAGAACCTGAGACGGACGTCCTTTCAAAAAGAGGAAAAGGACGTGTAGAGACATCTGCTGTCCTGCAGGAGAAAGACACTGTCCACATGTTTACATGACACACACACTGAGGAAACATGCATACTGAGGACACACACATTACATGTCACTTGTTAGACACTTTTATCCAAAGCGACTCACATACTCAACACTGTGGACGATCCCCACAGAAGCAATTTGGGGTGAAGCGTCTCAGGGACACAACGACATGCTGCTGCAGTGGGGTTTGAACCTGTGACCCCCTGATCCCAACACCAAGGCTCTATCCACTGCGCCACACATATACTGAGGACACACATACAGAGGACACATATATATTGAGGACACACACATACATACTGAGGACACACATACTGAGGACACACACATACTGAGGACACATACATACTGAGGACACACACATACTGAAGACACACACATACATACATACTGAGGACACACACATACAGAGGACACATATATACTGAGGACACACACATATACTGAGGACACATACATACTGATGACACACACATACTGAGGACACACACATACATACATACTGAGGACACACACATACTGAGGACACACACATACTGAGGACACATATATACTGAGGACACACACATACATACTGAGGACACATACATACTGAGGACACACACATATACTGAGGACACATACATACTGATGACACACACATACTGAGGACACACACATACATACATACTGAGGACACACACATACTGAGGACACACACATACAGAGGACACATATATACTGAGGACACACACATATACTGAGGACACATACATACTGATGACACACACATACTGAGGACACACACATACATACATACTGAGGACACACATATACTGAGGACACACACATACAGAAGACACATATATACTGAGGACACACACATACATACTGAGGACACATACATACTGAGGACACACACATATACTGAGGACACATACATACTGATGACACACACATACTGAGGACACACATACATACTGAGGACACACACATATACTGAGGACACACATACTGAGGACACACACATATACTGAGGACACACACATACTGAGGACACACACATATACTGAGGACACATACATACTGAGGACACACACATATACTGAGGACACACACATACTGAGGACACACACATATACTGAGGACACACACATACTGAGGACACACACATATACTGAGGACACATACATACTGAGGACACACATATACTGAGGACACACACATATACTGAGGACACACACACATACTGAGGACACACACGTACTGAGGACACACACACATACTGAGGACACATACATATACTGAGGACACACACATATACTGAGGACACATACATACTGAGGACACATACATACTGAGGACACACACATATACTGAGGACACATACATATACTGAGGACACATACATACTGAGGACACACACATATACTGAGGACACATACATATACTGAGGACACATACATACTGAGGACACACACATATACTGAGGACACATACATACTGAGGACACACACATATACTGAGGACACATACATACTGAGGACATATACATACTGAGGACACACACATATACTGAGGACACACATACAGAGGACACATATATATTGAGGACACACACATACATACTGAGGACACACATACTGAGGACACACACATACTGAGGACACATACATACTGAGGACACACACATACTGAAGACACACACATACATACATACTGAGGACACACACATACAGAGGACACATATATACTGAGGACACACACATATACTGAGGACACATACATACTGATGACACACACATACTGAGGACACACACATACATACATACTGAGGACACACACATACTGAGGACACACACATACTGAGGACACATATATACTGAGGACACACACATACATACTGAGGACACATACATACTGAGGACACACACATATACTGAGGACACATACATACTGATGACACACACATACTGAGGACACACACATACATACATACTGAGGACACACACATACTGAGGACACACACATACAGAGGACACATATATACTGAGGACACACACATATACTGAGGACACATACATACTGATGACACACACATACTGAGGACACACACATACATACATACTGAGGACACACATATACTGAGGACACACACATACAGAAGACACATATATACTGAGGACACACACATATACTGAGGACACATACATACTGATGACACACACATACTGAGGACACACATACATACTGAGGACACACACATATACTGAGGACACACACATACTGAGGACACACACATATACTGAGGACACACACATACTGAGGACACATACATACTGATGACACACACATACTGAGGACACACATACATACTGAGGACACACACATATACTGAGGACACACACATACTGAGGACACACACATATACTGAGGACACACACATACTGAGGACACATACATACTGAGGACACACACATATACTGAGGACACACACATACTGAGGACACACACATATACTGAGGACACACACATACTGAGGACACACACATATACTGAGGACACATACATACTGAGGACACACACATATACTGAGGACACACACATATACTGAGGACACACACACATACTGAGGACACACACGTACTGAGGACACACACACATACTGAGGACACATACATATACTGAGGACACACACATATACTGAGGACACATACATACTGAGGACACATACATACTGAGGACACACACATATACTGAGGACACATACATATACTGAGGACACATACATACTGAGGACACACACATATACTGAGGACACATACATACTGAGGACACACACATATACTGAGGACACATACATACTGAGGACACATACATACTGAGGACACACACATATACTGAGGACACATACATACTGAGGACACATACATACTGAGGACACACACATATACTGAGGACACATACATACTGAGGACACACACACACATAATGAGGACACACACATATACTGAGGACACATACATACTGAGGACACATACATACTGAGGAAACATACATACTGAGGACACACACATATACTGAGGACACATACATACTGAGGACACATACATACTGAGGACACACACATATACTGAGGACACATACATACTGAGAACACATACATACTGAGGACACACACATATACTGAGGACACATACATACTGAGGACACACACATATACTGAGAACACATACATACTGAGGACGCAGACATATACTGAGGACACATACATACTGAGGACACATACATACTAAGGACACACACACATACTGAGGACACATACATACTGAGGACACACACATATACTGAGGACACATACTTTATCATTATGATTAAGAGAAGTCATAAAGTTAGGACAGATTTTTAAGCATATTTCTAAGTGATAGTTATAGTTCTTTAAAAGTTATAATGAAGAGTTTTTTTATCGTGTTCGTAATTAAAGATGCAGAAACCTTTCTATCGTTGGTTAGAGTTTGTGAATATATGAAATGCATCACCTTCCTAAAGAAAAATGATCTCTTGTGAGAAATCTTAGCACCCATAATTTATTTAAAAAAGGGGCCCTATTCTGCTTTTGGGTGTTTTCCCTTTCCTGTTGTAAGTGCTGTAGGTTTTTGTGACCTCACTATGGAACACTTAGTGCGCTCCTATTGGCTAGCGCTTCAACACATTGTACGTGATAGGCTAAGGGGCGGGGCATCTCTAAGCTGTTGACCAATCACAGCAGAGCTGTAGAGTCTCTTTAAAGTAGAGACACTACATACTGATATACACCTGAACATCAGCAGGAGAGGACTCTTTAAAGTAGAGACACTACATACTGATATACACCTGAACATCAGCAGGAGAGGACTCTTTAACGTAGAGACACTACATACTGATATACACCTGAACATCAGCAGGAGAGGACTCTTTAAAGTAGAGACACTACATACTCATATACACCTGAACATCAGCAGGAGAGGACTCTTTAAAGTAGAGACACTACATACAGATATACACCTGAACATCAGCTGGAGAGGACTCTTTAAAGTAGAGACACTACATACTGATATACACCTGAACATCAGCAGGAGAGGACTCTTAAAGTAGAGACACTACATACTGATATACACCTGAACATCAGCAGGAGAGGACTCTTTAAAGTAGAGACACTACATATTGATATACAACTGAACATCAGCAGGAGAGGACTCTTTAAAGTAGAGACACTAACTACATACTGATATACACCTGAACATCAGCAGGAGAGGACTCTTTAAAGTAGAGACACTACATATTGATATACAACTGAACATCAGCAGGAGAGGACTCTTTAAAGTAGAGACACTACATACTGATATACACCTGAACATCAGCAGGAGAGGACTCTTTAAAGTAGAGACACTACATACTGATATACACCTGAACATCAGCAGGAGAGGACTCTTTAAAGTAGATACACTACATACTGATATACACCTGAACATCAGCAGGAGAGAACTCTTTAAAGTAGAGACGCTACATACTGATATACACCTGACCATCAGCAGGAGAGGACTCTTTAAAGTAGAGACACTACATACTGATATACAACCTGAACATCAGCAGGAGAGGACTCTTTAAAGTAGAGACACTACATACTGATATACACCATACTTGATATACATACTGATAACATCAGCAGGAGAGGACTCTTTAAAGTAGAGACACTAACATACTCGATATACACCTGAACATCAGCAGGAGAGGACTCTTTAAAGTAGAGACACTACATACATGATATACACCTGAACATCAGCGGAGAGGACTCTTTAAAGTAGAGACACTACATACTGATATACACCTGAACATCAGCAGGAGAGGACTCTTTAAAGTAGAGACACTACATACTGATATACACCTGAACATCAGCAGGAGAGGACTCTTTAAAGTAGAGACACTACATATTGATATACAACTGAACATCAGCAGGAGAGGACTCTTTAAAGTAGAGACACTAACTACATACTGATATACACCTGAACATCAGCAGGAGAGGACTCTTTAAAGTAGAGACACTACATACTCATATACACCTGAACATCAGCAGGAGAGGACTCTTTAAAGTAGAGACACTACATACCGATCTACACCTGAACATCAGCAGGAGAGGACTCTTTAAAGTAGAGACACTACATACTGATATACACCTGAACATCAGCAGGAGAGGACTCTTTAAAGTAGAGACACTACATACTGATATACACCTGAACACCAGCAGGAGAGGACTCTTTAAAGTAGAGACACTACATACTGATATACACCTGAACATCAGCAAGAGAGGA